AATTAAATTTTTGGATTTAATTAAATCCGAACCACTTACAACGGGCAAAAGTCAATTTATTCCCGATATGAATGACAAGATCTATAACTTTTCCAAAGACACTTTTTTCACTTCAAATTTCCAGTCGTTTTGAAGTTATGGCCCCCGGAAAAAGTGGGGTTGCCAACTTTGAGCCCCCCTAAAACCGACCCCGGGAGAATCGCAACGAAAAGAAATATTGTTTCGAAGGTTTTGAGGGATGCCCTATCGAATGCGTATGGGCATTTGTAAAAAAATTATTCAAAATGAGGGACCTTTACTGGTAAGAATCTGTCGGATGAAATATGGTGGATATTTGTGAATACGGCGGAATATTGTAGATATTTGTGATTATCAATGATATTTAAATGTATTTATTTGGATTTAATGCCAAAAATCTCAAATATCTCCAAAATCCACGAAAATCTGATTTATTTATTCGAAATATTCGAAAATATGTCATACAACTGATGTTTATTTCAAATATCTCTAAGATTTAGGAGCGTGATATTCCCCTAGCTAATGACATCTTTGGATCGCAGTTTCATTGGGTTAACGTCAAAATTAGTTTCTGAAAATTGGCACATTGGCCTGAAATTTGACGATCTTTCTAGACCAAGAGCTGTTGAACAAAGTACTATAAATACAAGCTTTATGTCAGATAATGGAATTGTAGGTGCACATTGATGCCAATATTCAAAATATCAATTTGTTTTATCTTCATTTGATAAACATCACAATCTGCTCGCCGATAACAAGAAAAAAAAATTGCTTCACTTTTCGCTCAAGCTTTATGGCCGAATTTTTGTGTACTGATAAATTCGTACGAGAATGATTCAAACACAAAAAATCTGCTCCAAACATTGTACACAACATTTTTTATTACATATCAAAGTCTCATTCAATTCAAAGAAGTGAGGTTATGTTGTAATCATGTCAAAATAGATGAAATGCATTGCAAACACATAACCTCACTTCTTTGACTAGAATGAGACTTTGATGTGAAATAAAAAATGTTGTGTACAATGTTTGGAGAAGATTTTTTGTGTTTGAATTATTCTCGAGCGAATTTATCAGTAAACAAAAATTCTGCCATAAAGCTTGAGCGAAAAGTGAAGCAATTTTTTTTCTTGTTATCGGCGAGCAGATATTATGACGTGTATCAAATGAAGATAAAACAATATGATATTTTGAATATTGACTTTAATATGCACCTACAATTTCATTATCGGACATGAAGCTTGTATTTATAGTACTTTGTTCAACAGCTCTTGGTCTATTCGATCTATGATGAAAAAACGATAACTTAATAACGCATTTATTTTTTAAATAATTCAATATTTTCATCAATTTATCGTATTTTCCGGTGTGGGTTATTTTTAACCCCTTCAATCAAACTTTTTCGGTGTTTTTGGGTTGGATGGTCTAGTTGGCTTCAATATCTTTCCAAAGAAAGAACAATAATGAGTTTATGTCCAAAAATGCGCTCACAATGGTCGTTGGCATGGAATCACGGCGGCTTGACCCATAGTGTGCCGAAGGCTGTAACCTCAGCAAAATAGCCCCTGAAGGAAAAGTGCCCACACACTTCTAAGGAGTAATCATGAGCCAGGGAATCAGTGGTATAGAGATTAGCATAGAATTTAGAATCACCATGTATAGATCAAAGTTATTTTTCATTCGAAATAGCACGGTAAAGTCGAACTGACAATGTCTTTGGAACGATGTGACATGTGGTGCAAATAGGTAATGGCCAAAGAAGTTCTATCAAAATCTACACATAACCAACTTGACATTCGCAATGCGTATACGATACATAGCTCAGTTACCTAGTTACCTTATGATAAATATTCTATGGACTAGGTGCGCCACCAGAGCGAACAAATTTTTTCGCTTCAGAGGAATTTGTTTTTCAAATATAGGAACTGTAAAATATGCGAAGGTGTCGAGAAGAACATAGTTGAAGAATATATCATTGAATTAGTGAAAAAAAAAACTTACATCATTACGTCGGAATGAATCAAAGCTTCTTTCTGAACACACGGATGAAGCCTCACTCTCATCAGATTCATCTCGAGATATCTTACGATGCAAATGTAGACGACCTAATTCATTTGATAAATTTGCATCATCCGGGGACTAGAATGAAAATGATTTTTTTATATATGTTTGAATTGCAAAAAATACTCTCAATTTATTTACAAGGGCATCGGCTAAAGCAGTTTCAGCTTCACGACTGGCCTGTAGAATTTTCTGTGCTAAAACTGGCCTTGTTGGAATGATTGGAGGTCTTTCTTGTCGACGAGGGCTGTTACTAGGCAAATATCCTAAACGGCGAACAGTTTGATGTACTCCATTTCTAGTCGGACTAGTTTCACGCGAGGTGACGAGTGATCTTGGAATGATTGGAGTCTTTTTTGGAATTGTACCAGTTTGTCTATACGCAGACGTGCTATACAATCGAGATGATGGTGATGTACTCCTAGATGTCGCTGATCAGAAGATAAATAAAAAAAATGAGAATTTGGGAGTTTGTAGATTGAAACACAAGCACACTAGCGCCGCAGTTTGCCCTACAATATCATATACGGCAAGCTGCAGAACTATTCATTCAGTATATATCATGCAGCTTAACTGTCAATCTGCAATCCCCCTGATTCCTTTTTAATCAGTTAGAAATGTTTACAAAATTATATTCACATGTTCAGACATGTATTTTTTGTGTAATTGAAAAGGTGCAATTTTTTGGATGTTGATACGAGTTTGAGCGAGTTCTTCGAGTTTGATGTGAGTTTTGTATGAGTTTTGCGAGTTCGAGCATTCGCGAATATCCCCAAGTTTGGACCAATGCACGAAATTGAACTTAGTGTATGCATGATATTGGATACAATGAAGAACTTGTCAAAATGGTCCAACCGTCGCTGAGTTGAAAGCAATATTTTTTCGATGTTTAAGGAAAGTGTGATTGCTTTTTGCAGTTTGTTTAAATTCAAAACATTTTACATTTTTACAGTGTTTCAGTTAATAATCTTTAATCTTATCTTTGTTATTATCTGATACTGCTTCATCAGTGAAAGCTTTATGCAAAAACGTGGCCCAGGAGAATCCAATACTATTCAACGAATGTGGTAGTGTAAGCTCGATACAAATCAACCAGCAATGTCTCGACTCCCTCTTCGACAGAGAAAGTCTCCGAGACATCAGATTTATTTACTGAAATATCTCATTCAAATTCGGCAGAAAGAGATTTGCAAATAAACCAAAGCCTAGAAATGGACAGCTCTTCGGCCACTGGGAATTCGATCACTATAAGCAAGCATTTTCAAGAGGCAATGACCCACCAAAATAGTTATCACCTCAATGCGATCAGTTCACTCCAAACGTCAAAAGATGATATTGTAATTATCGCAGGTGACTTCAATCTACCGGGAGTTAAATGAATCGACAATGAAGATGGGTTTGATTTCCTACCTATGGTCGGAGATTCAGTGAGTGAAAAAGCGAATATATCGACAGCAGTCACGAATACTATGATCGAAAAGAGGTTTTTCCATACACGTTGGACAATCGAACATTGTACTCTTTGTTGTGTGGACTGAAAATCGCACCGAAAAAGCAAGGCAAATACAAACAAATTTCCATCACGGAGAAAGAGTTCAGAAAATAAAAGGAGTATTATTGGAACGAATTCTTCGATATGCAAAAAATCTATCGGCTCGGTCGCAGTAGAAAAATTTCCGTTTCCGATTTCTCTCAAATGGACAGGTATCGCTACAATTTGATGTTGACAAAACGAAATCGAAACCAGTTGACGAAAAAGCCATTGTTCAAAACTACAGAAATTTTGTCAATGAAAGTGGTACTGATCCGGGTGGAACGCAACAACAGTACATAACATCGAAACTGGCAAAGAGGCAATCTACGTGCATTTTTCATTTGATAAACCGAAGTTATGCCATTGTCATTTTCATTGTTATCCAAACGGTTTTCTTTGTTCTGTTCTGTTTCGTTTTGTTTCGTTTCTTAGGTGAACTACACGATCAGTAGCAAACAGTATCATTACTGGAAGAAGCAAAAGGTCCGAAATCGACAGGGAAAGCGGTGGACCAAGGATTTTGTGAAGGAAGAGAGGCAGGATCGTGAAAATCGTGCGCTCTATCCGGTGATGCCATCGCCATTGAGTAGGCACTGGAAGGACTACATTCGACATCGACTCAAAATGACGTAAAGTGGCACTGCCATATATACGACAGACAAATAAACGCGACTGAATTTTGACAAATACGTTCGATCAAAAAGTGTGACCGATAGCATAGCCGGAATGTTGACCAACCATCAGCCATCTTTTATGCATTTCGGAGCTGTTCAAATGTCGCCCAGTTCACAAAAATACACTGCGTTGCCCGGGCAATCGGAAGATGATACGGAGCTACTAAAGTATCCTGGTTGTGTGGTTAATATGGTCGACGAGTATTTCACTTCTCAAACATGTGCCAAGTGCTTTGGCCGTTTTGATCGACGCACGAAACGACATCGGTTCAAAGTCTGCCATTATGTCGGCCGCAATTGGAACAAGCAATGCTGCCATCAATTATTGTGCAAGCTCAACAAACGAAAGATGAGGGTAGAGAAGCTGAAATTGTTTTTGCTTGAGAAAGAAGCGGAAGAGGGTAACGGAAATCAAGCGGTCGGCAATTATGTCCCACATCCCAATCAACTAAATCCAGATTTACTCCCAAATATAGCGATCTACTATAGGACATGGCAAGTAAATGGGTCTAGTGGAATTTTGCAATACGTGAACGTCAATCGAGCCGGTGAGATGGAAGTTGTTGAGCCACGAGTGCACAAGACGACATGGCATCATGACATTGCCGCTGCAAAATGTATCCTGATCAAATGTAAGTGCTCATAATATGTTGATTGAATTACATATGAGGTGCTTTATTTACACATCATTCATTGTTTTCTTGTATGATTTTAAAGGACACTGTAACTTATTTGGGTATACGTTACTCGAAACATTTCAGAGGCCATGCAACCAGCGAGCTGCTGTCAACAACTAACAAGCATCATGCATCGTCGTTCACGCCATTCACATTGAATAATTTAAAAATTAAAATATAACAGTAATGTTATTTCCGCTATGCCTGATTGTTGTGGTATAGTAGTCGTACATACTTAACTAGGAGGGCAGAAGTACCCATGTAAGTAAATGATTTGTTTTTCAATTGACATAAGAGTATTGAATGTATTGATGCTAAATTTATGCTGTTTTTTCTCCATTCATTCCATGCACAATTGGATCACTATGACGGTTACTTCTACGCTTAAATCTATCCCCGTATTCAACCTTGGATATGTGCCTGGAATCGGATGTATTTGGGTTGATAATTGTTAGATGGGTATGAACCCATATAATAAAAAAATGTTTGCTATATTTTTCACTTCAATTTAAGCGTTTCTCAAGGTTTAATTCCTTCACAAGTTCGAGTTAACGAAAGTCGACTGTATAATGCCAATGAATAATTTATTACAAATTCCGTGGCTAGAATTTCATTCTCCGTGTAGAGTTCCATTTTCCGCACGAGATTTTAAATTCCGTGCTCCATATATTTTAAATGAGTGAGCCATGTATGGATGTATGGATTTGTGTGAGGAGTAACACAGGTCATTGACCTTTTGCAAAACTACCCGTTTTGGAGAGAGATTTTTTATAGCTGAGCTTCCAAGTGATTTTTCATCCATTTTTACTATATGACATTGCCAGCTGGTAGCAAGACATTAGACGTGTTGTCCCTTCTAGCTTGTCTCGTAAAGAATATTGTGCCGACAGAATTTGAATTCCTAAGAGAGGAAAATCTGCCATACTTTTGAACGAATTTGAATATTTTACTAAGATTAAAATTTAGAATTTCGTTCGGTGTGAGCATATCTATTCCGAAAATACTTCTTCTAATATGGCTCAGAGCTGGACAGTTGCATAGAAAGTGAAGAGATGATTCTTCTCCTCTGCCGCAAAGATCGTAGTCGGGGTCATCTCTAACCTGTATGCGTTTAAGATACGCATTTAGTCTAATGTGACCGGTTAAGATGCCAAAAGTGTAGCTAAGCCTTAGTTTATCAAGACTCAGTAGTTACGATGCTATTTTATCACTGGGTGAAATCATAAAGTTTCTAGTGATAGCGCATTTCGAGGTGGTCCGCCAGCGGGTTTTAATACCCTCTTGTAACCACGTGTTGCATATGGTTCTGCACTTGCTGAGCCATATTCCAAATTGTAAAACTGCCTTAATGATAATGCGCCGAAAATTACAGCAAAGTAAGAAAAATGGGAGAAAATATATTCAACTTTCACGCTGTCAATCTCATACTTACGTTGTGATTGAGTCACACCACTATTGCGCCGAACAGTACTACGATATTCTGCTTGAGGTGTTGATTGATTGGAGACATTTTGTGCAACTTTTTTTGCACGTGCTGAAATATAGTAATCACAATTAATGTAGGAGTTTCATTAGAGAAGACTCGATTTAGTTATTTTACTACCTTGTTGAGCCACCTGACCTTCTGCATCAGAAAAAATGAATTTGTAAAATTCAAGCATTACAAGTTCTTTTATATTTAAACTATAATATTCAAAATCGGAAACTTACGAAGTGAAGCTGTTCCAGCTGTCACCTTCATTCGGGCAATTGTAGAGTACTGTTGTCTGGCTCTAGCTCGTTGTACAGCTGCTGTATCCAACGCTGAAATGCTTCGTACATTTCCTGTATGGAATATGTTTATTGTATATTTTTGGGATTTTTTTTTTTCAAGGATAGTTCGAAAAGAAAAAGATTTTTTAATGGACTCAAACAAACGACAAAAATGACCTCGAAGTGCAGAAATTTGTGACACATCTCGGTGAATTGTTGATACGGGTATTCCGCTTTTATTACGATTTTTTGACAACGTAGGTATTCTGTAAAGTCGACTAGTGCTACCGTATGATGTTATTGGAGTTATAAGATTTTCACTACTTGTGCTGGCTGATTATATTTTTTCCAGTCCGTATTTCGAAATATCATCAGAGGTGAGCAAGTTATTGGAAAAGAGATGCAAAATAAAATTTGGTTTGAAATAGCTGGTAAGCTTGTGTTTTTTTCTTTGTAAAATACACTACTGCTCAACAATTTGGGTACAGTTGTGATAAAAATACATTTTCCTATACTGAATCGTAAATTTTGTATTCAGAACTTCTGTGCAAGGGGCCAGTGCGCTGAAGGCGCGGGGATGAAGCAACAACAGCAACAACACGCATTTTTAATGTAAACAAGCAACCAGCTCTACCGACACGACGCTAAAGGCGATAGTTGAAATTGCCATTGAAGTTTATGAGTGAGCGCGTTTATTTAAATTTATGAAGATTTTCGTTGTGATTTTCTTTGGCTTTGATTCATTCCATTAACATATTTTTAAGTTGGGAAATACGAAAGGGTTGACATATGACACCCATAGAACAAAAGAACAACCTATGAGCTCTTTATTCATAACTTAGACGGGAAAAACTTAGAGCAAAAATGAAACAAATAAAGTTGAGAGCAGAAGTGACACAACTCAACATTGAGCGGAAAAGACATTTTTTGCTCTAAGTTTTTTCCGTCTCAGTTATGGATAAAGAGCTCATAAGTTGTTCTTTCATTCCATGGGTGTAATTAATGAAAAAAAAAATACGAAAACATCATTCAAACCAATGAGAAAAACGACTAGAATGGCGTTTGGTTTGGCGCCATCTGCAAGGTGGAAGTATTTTGCAATACAAATACGTTCTATTGTTGCTGTCATTGATAGTTGTCAGCATATTAATATAAAAGTTTCATAGTTTAGCGTTCAGCGTCAAGATGTCGCTTAAATATAGCATAAACATGTGCTCCATATAAAAACATAGGCAAATTTTGTCATTGTTCAAACGGTAGTTCTTATTTAAAAATTGTTTTGGGGCAGAATCAGTACACTGTAGAAAATTGCAATTAAATGCAGGTTCCAATACATTCATAAGATTATGGGAGTGCTTAAAACTGAAGCTGCGTGTGATGCACATTACAGATACAAAAAGTGTATGCTGTCACTTACATATATTGCCTTTATTTCGAGAAAATTGAAAAAAAAAAATCAAAATTACGGACAGTGTGGGATAGTATGGGAAAGTTCGGGATTACGAATGTAATCCTTTTTATCTGATGAACAATTTACTCGTCAATTTAGTTCGTTGTTATTTACAGTTCGATCCATATCTGAGCAATATTTTATGTTATTGAGTTTAATATGAAATTGCACACACATCATGTAGACAACACACAAGCGGAAATTTTTAAGAACTATCAATACTTGTTGTTGTTGTCATGAATTTCGCAACAACAAGAAGTATTGATAGTTCCTTAAGTTGCCGCAGATCCTATTTAGGCGCTACCGCTATTCACTGTCACGTCAAATACATTGGTTCTTATGGGAGAGAAGCACAGGTTGACATTTTGACAGAGAATCGTTTCAGCATAGATATTCAGTTTACAGCTGAGTTCTCAGTAACTGAATGCAGTGACTGCATCCGTCGCTGTGAGTGAGCGGGCGTTCTACATTCAAGCGCAGACATGCATATACATTGGTTTACACTCAATCGGAGTGAGTGTGCGTGCAAAGAGGAGAGAAGAGAACGAACGAAATGTGTCGCATCGAGCGATGCTAGAGAATGTCCTCTTGACACAGTGTCAGTGTGGCGAATATTTACACTTTGTTTCTTCGAATTGTTGTTCGTTCTTCTTTTTCTTCTTACAAATTTGTCAACAGCACAAACACAAGCAAGTTCACTCAAATCGTTCAATGCGACACATATTGCTCGTTCTCTTCTCTTCTCTCCACTCCTCTCTCGCACGCGCACTCACTCCAACTGAGTGTGAATCAATGTATATGCACGTCTGCGCTTGAATGTAGAACGCCCGCTTACTTACAGCGACGCACACAGTGACTGCATTCAGTTACTGAGAATTCAGTTGTAAACTGAGTATCTATGCTGAAATGATTCTCAGCATTTTGTTTTTGAATTTACCACTCTTGAAATGAAACCAATGGCATTTCAATCTACCACCACTAGAGGCAGGTCGAATGTTCTCGTCAGTATGGATTTCATGACCGCATAAAAACAATTCAAGGTATTTTTGTAAATAAAATTATCCAATAAAATTTTCCACTTACCAGATGGGACAATCGTTACAGGACTTCTGAGGCCAGTGAATTGTCGACGCTCTACAAGCAATATTAAATTAAAATTGATTTGGATGTCTATTATGCGTTACGTTCACTAAGTGTGTTATTTTTTAACTTAAAGTTATGTGTTATTTTTTCAACCATTCTCCAGACATTGATTACGAGTATCTGTAATGTGATCGCAGAAAAGTTTCTTCGCCAAAATTGTAGAACACCGCTAATAATTAAAGCCGTCAACAGAAACGGACAAAAAAAGAAAAAGTCGTTTTTGTCCGAAAATTTCGGACGAACATTTTTTTCGAATTTTGGAAAATCGTCTTTTATCTGTCCGTTCGTCCGAAAACTACATTTAAACTGAGATTCCGATTTCTGTTCTGTCACTTTTAATGCACCATTAGATACATAAAAAACTTGTAAAAGTTACTTTGTCGTGCGTTAGAGCCTTCATCGCCCCTTCAGCTTTGTTCTCGTATACAGTCAAACGCTTGCTTTATTATTAGTCTTAATACAGTAGATGTTTGTGCCGCTACGATAAGTGGAGAGAACGGCACGTTGACTGTTTGCATTTCATTCACACGCTGCTATATGAATGTAGCAATCGCCTGCAAACGAGTAAGAACAGAAATAATGTTCAAACGTCATGCGCTTGTTGGTATGTGTTTGTGCGTGTTTGTTTGTCGCTTGATTAGCGTACACAAATGTCAGTCAGCATAGATGTTGAACGTTTAATAGAAGTTTCTATACATATAAACGAAGAATAGCATGGATGGACATGAAATTGGATGTATTGGTGCGCAAATTTGACAGAACACTCAGTTTAAATCTTCTTTCATTTTTTCAACCGATGGTTCTTTTAAAGAAGTAAATGATTTTTGGGCGAGGGGAAATCTTTTCTACACATGTTATCATGTTATTCTATGTACAGATGTTCCCTATATTTGATCAAACACATCTTATATTTGATTAAATATGTTTTCTTTTTTACACGTATTAACATGTAATTCTAAAATGACATCTGTAATTCTTTAACATTTTTTCAAAAATCGAAGCCTAGGGGGTGGGTAGACACCAAACCAAGGATAGTTATGCTTTCAAAAGACTCCATTGATGTCTACCAGGACTCAAGATTTGTTTAGATTCGTATAAATTTCAAATGATTTCATAGATTTTTTTTTGACAGATCCACCATCTTGATCTGATTTGGACGTGAAATCTTCCGAATCAATTGATTCACTGGAAATCTTTACTGGTTTGTTATTCATGGAGATTTGAAATTTCATTGTGGTGTCTAACCCCTAGATCGAACCAGAAAATAAACGAAATAGTTTCGGAACTCTACCTTACTTCAGACAATTGTCAAAATAACATGTTTCCCTCTATAAATACAGATCCATTCAGCAAATACAACATAGTCGAATTCAGAATTTTGATCAACATGAAATACTTAATCCAAGCTATCTTTTCTGTTGACATTGTTATAGCTAGCGTAAGTTAATGTTTTTCAAAACAATATTTGATGGTTGATAATAATGGGGAGTTTATTATTTTTTTAGTTTTATATCATTTTAACTATATATTTTTGCTTATCAATTTAAGCTACTAGTATTTTTTTCACATGCAAGAATTAGTTTTAATTTTTGGTTTTATGTAGGATTTCTTCAGAAGGAATCAAAATTTGGCTGAGAATTTAGCTCAGTTGAAGCGAAATAGCTTGAAATTTGATAGACTTTGATGGAGAAGTGCTGAACGATTTAGCTTTCTTTATTTTACCACATTTATTGAATTAGGTGAAGACATTTGCCAAATTGTAACATACATTCAAAAACTAGTAATCAAGCTATATGCAAAAGATTCTGGACGTGTTTAGCGGTAATAATGGATCACAATATTGTAAACGAACCATTGCGACAAACGAATTCCCTCAGAATATTTGAGTTTTAAAGTGCAACATAAAGTTTTTTTCATATGGAGTTGTTGTTGTAAACTCTATACGCGATGAAAAATTGAAGAAAATGCGTTCTTGGAAAAATTGGAAAAATGAGTATTTGCTGCTGAAAAAGGCGCTCTAAGATTGAAGAATGCGCCTTTACTTGTGAAAAATTGCGTTTATATCGATAGAAAAAAAAACGTGAAAAACGGATCACCAGAGAAAAAAATGCTCATTTTTTATACAGTGTTTTCGAAGAAGTATCATTTTTCTTCGAAAATGAAAATCAAAACTGTTTATTCAAAAAATGAATGTTCTTTGCAATTCTATGTTTTTTTTAAGTTCATTTATCTTTGCTCTCAAACGAAAACGGTCGAATTTGATTTTGCATCGTAATACTTCCATAAAAGAGTCGAGTAATCAACTTGCAATGAGTTAAATAAATGAATCATAGCGTTTATAAGAAAGTCTGATTCTTAAAATTGAACGCCATGTAAACAGAAGAGAGCGAAACGCGCATAGCCTATTGATTTGTGTATAGACGTTACAGTTTCGCGAGAATTGCTGATTTGTCAATTAATCAGTTAATCAGAATAAACAATTCGACCGTGTACACTTCGCTGTTTGTCATGGAATCAGAATACGGAGAGCACAGTATTCAATTGTTCATTAACCGAAACAGACCGAAATGCAAATCGTGACAACATTAACAAAAGAACGAAAAATCGACCATGTTATAGATATTCTCAATGAATTGAGACGCATGGACATGGAAAAGTTGGTTCCAAACGCAGCTATTGCGTATAGAATTTTTTTGACTTTACCCGTTTCCGTAGCAAGCGGTAAACGAAGTTTTTCAAAATTGAAAATATTAAAAAACCATCTACGGAATAGTATGGGCCAGGAACGATTAAGTGGATTAGCCATAATTTCCATCGAAAATGATATTGCAAGTGACATAAATTATGATGAAGTTATCCATGAATTTGCGTCTGCTAAAGCAAGAAAAGGTGTATTCAAATAGCTATATCTCTTTTCACACACTTCAACAATGTTGAATCAACATGAACATCTTTACACAGTATTATACAAGTATTTTTCAAAGATCCAAAGAATTAACCAAAACGTATTATCAGAGAATACTTACAGATGAATTCATCATCGATAGATGAATTTATGCGATAAATTTATCAGATAAATCCTATGCGTTGCGTTGTTCTAACGCATTTGCAGTATAAAAACGAAGAGGAGTTCATTGGAAGGAATTGGGATCCATTGGTATCCAATCCCTTCTAATGGATTCCAATCCTTTCTAATAAATTCCTCTTCGTTTTTGTACTTCAAATGCGTTAAAACAACGCAACGCATACGATTTATCTGATAAATTTATCGCATAAATTCATCTATCGATGATGAGTCCATCTGTAAATATACTCTGCGTATTATAAACTAAACTTAAAAAAATAACAATAAAGATATTTCTTATTATTGTAGAAGTAAAAATTATTGCTCGAATTTTCATTATTTAATTTATATTAAACAATTTCGGAAAAGGCGCAAAATTTTCGTTTGCATCGGGGCGCAATTTGGTCTCGCTGAGGCACTGTCACAATGTGTGTGGAATAAAGCGCCATCTATGCCATGATGCTTTTGTTCGTATAAGTCCATATGCATTCAATTTGGATGCTTAAAAAACGTTCAAAACCATTAGACGGCGGCAAGATTTTTTTTGGTGCCCTCAAAATTTTAAATTTTGAAATATTCTCTGAAACAGAAAAAAATGGAGCCGCCTACGGTCTTTATGATTCCATATGTTGTTCCTTACGCATGGAGTATTTCTCTGTTTTGCTTTATAAGGTGATTATAATACAAAATTTCGTTATAATTATGAAACCTTATATTGTACGGATAAAGATTTTTATCCGTAACTGCGATCCTTATAATCGAACACATTCACCGATACGGATAATTATTTGCATCGGTATTTGTGAGTCATGAAAAAAAGTACGAGTTAACCGTAGCACGAGCAATCTGTGCCATTTTTCATAGGGTGCCTCCACTCACATTAAATTTGTATTATGAATTCATTTCAATGTAAAACCAATACAAGTGGAGGATGGCACGCGGGGCTTACTTGTAATTTCACAAATAAACAAAATTAACGGTTCTAACGGTTAATATTTCTAATCTGTGGAAGTGATGACAGTGACCCCACATATGTCATTGTTAATGACTACTAAATAATGTAGGAATTGCACTCACTTATGACACTGCTTGGAATTGAATTCAAACTACTGTTACTTCCACGTAAACTGGCACTCATAGAATTCGTTCCATTTGATTCAGAACCATCTTGTTCTCGGTCCAATGTTTTCTGTGTTTGCGAATCAAGTGATGCATACAAATTATCAGCTAGATCTGGAAAATGGCGTCTGAATTCCCAAAAATTCCTGAAAATATTTAATATTAGAAATTATTAAAAATAAAGCATAAAACTCACTTACATGGATTAATTCTTATAATTATATTATTATAACATGAAGGTTCAAGAAGAAGAACGAGTTATGTTAAGAATATGTGTTTTGAATAAATGATGTTTGAATTTTACGGAAACTTTTTGTCTAAATACTCACTCAAAATTACTTCGTCGTCATGTAGGGCTTGTATTGATAATTTGACAGATCACCACCATTACTATTGTCGAGCATAGTAATTTTATATGCATTGTGTCGGCACTGTTGTGCGACATTGTTACCAATACTACTTTATGACATATTATTGGTTCTAATATCGCACAACAGTGATACAATGCATATAATCATCGCCAATAGTAATGGTGGTGATCTGTCAAATTACCAATACAAATCGTACATGTTGCCGAAGTAATTTTGAGTAACGCTATAGGGTCTTATTTATCCAAAGACAGGAGTGTATGGCACACAAAAGCGTTCAGAATCGTCCAAAGACTCTCAAAGAACGATGGGGCACTGGCGTGCACAAGACTACAACGAGATTGAAGAAAGAGGAAGATTTTTTTTTTAATTTTACGTTTCAATAAGAGATGCTTAAAATGTGCACAAGTTCGAGTATTTCAATGCTACCCCTAGTTCATTCCGAAGTTCCGAAGTAAAGCCCCGTGTAAAATAGAATTTTCTGTCAACTTATTGGCAAACATTCTGTTCTCAATCGATTATCCGATTTAATATTCAACAAAACAATTCAATACTAACCTCCTACTATGCTTGCGTGCCATGTTGTCGGCGTCAAAAATGCCCTTTTTCAATGCTTCTTTTAAATTGATTGAGAACTTTTCCAGTGTTTTAGTTGACCAATGCTCGAATAAGTAGAACATTACTTCGCATAATGTGGCACGAATATCTTTTGACTTTGACTGCATTAGATTTTGTGTTATAATTGGGATTAGTTTTGGTGCATGTGTATATTTTATCACATATTTCACTGTTATTATACTAGCCGATGAAATGATTTTCGCTGAATTCTGAATAAGGTTTATTAGTTCTTGAAATATATGAACACAAAAAACATCCAAACGGTTTTGAATAACTTTGCACATATATGCAATGGTAATACAGGCTTCACGGATGACCTGTGAACGTAGTTCTTTCAATATATCAAGAAACGAAATAGATAGATTTTCTTTCAGATATAGAGAAAATGTCGATGACGTATGAACATTAAGCATAAGCAATGAACGAATTTTTTTGAGTGCATCAATCCGTTTGTCCCAATCCATATTTTTATCTCCGATTGTGGTATTGATAGACTTCAAAAGATCGTCAACGTCACGCTGGTTGAATACCGTAATTTGAGGCACAACTTCGAAAGAAGATTCAAAAATTTCCATTGTAACTGCACCCGCATCACCTGTATAAAATAAGAATTCAACAGGTTTACATTTTCATGATATGTGATTTCAGATTCTGTTTTTATGTTTTATTGTTATCTGTGAGTAACTACAAATTTAGATTAAACCGTTATTACCAATACGATACTTGAAAATTTTCATTTCCATACATTATGATGTACGATGTAGATTATTGGTTATTGTGGTAGCATTGAATTTAATACAAAAGTTTAGCTGTTTTTTTTATTTTTGGTGACCTGAAAATTATTGTACTCTGTATGCTATCTATATAATCCATCCATAAATTATGATGTAGTACATTTGAGGGGTTTAGAGCGAAAATGTAATACAGAAAAGTTGAGCGGCAAAATGTCGATGATGAATGAGCGGAAAAGGGATAGCTATATCTATGGGTGAGATTGAGAGTGGAGTATATTTTTCTTCGGTTTATATTTTTGAAAAGGCGAGTATGTTTTCTGATGATTCTGTTGGCGTTAAAGTAGAGTATGTTGTAGTACCGTCTAGCCTCCGCGGTCTTCATGGTTTTCGCGCAACTGATAAAAGATAACAACATGGTGTCTTCGGCAAAGTTGTAGTACTCGAGGTTTTCTTTAACTAAGCTGAAGACATCTATCTCTTATCTCTTATCAGTTGCGCGCAAATCGCGCACATAAAAAAGCAAATTTTATATGGAACTTTTTTTTTTCTTATCATTTTTCGCGCTTAACTGACTTCAGCAATGTTATAGAAGACCTCGAGTGCTACAACTTTGCCGAAGACACCAAGTTGTTATCTCTTATCAGTTCCGCGGAAACCGTGGAAAACCGCGAGGACCCGCCAAAAATGAACATACTCGCTTTTAACCATTTATAAATCGACAGAAACTTGCTCTTCTCTTTCGTAACAAAGTCAATGAAACATACACTACTCTCAATCTCACCCATAGATATAGTAAACTGTATAGTAAACTATAGTGAACTATATAGCTATCTCTTTTCATTTGACATTTTTCCTCTCAACTTTTTTGTATGACATTTGCGCTCCAAACCCCTCATTTTATGTAACGGCTCAATTATAGTTTGACCTATAAATGAGTCCTTCCGTAGGATCTAAAAGACTCTACGAGTAGCGTAGAGCGAGAATGTTTTTTTTATACTGACTTTTTGGAAAAAGTTGGTAATGTTAAATTACTAATGTACTATGGGACGTGATCATTTTTGGGAATTTTTTCTTATTTCAGCCAACTTACCAACAGAAATACATTTCTTAAACATCTCTCACGCTCAATTTTGTTTAGTTTTGGATGAGGAATGGAGTGGTAGTTTCAGTTTTCATATCTGCTAAGCCGTTTTGAAAAATACCTGGCTGAATTAAATATTATAAGTAATAAGATGATCTTATTACTTTCATCGACTAACCTATCATTCAAATTTAATTTCTTAAACATCTCTGAACATCAATTTCCAACACAGTGAAGTGCAATGGTAATATATTCAGCAAATCCAAAACCGTTCAGAGTTCAGTTTGCATTGCTTTTGCATTGCCATTTCCAACATTTGGGTAAACCTTATGACGAAAGCATTTACTTATTCAATGGGCCCTCAGAAATTAGCAGTAATTTGTCGCTCGAGTAATGCATTAGTACCTTTGAAATTAGAAGGTGTTTTTAGTGTATTTGTTGTTGTTTCTTCGAATTTCTGAATGTTCTAATTTCCGAGGGCCCACTGTAATTCCAAATTATACTGTATAGATGCCGTTGGGGCATTCACTGCTGAATATTTTCCATTTACAGCGCCCTTTGTTGTCAATTTCGTTCAGTTTTCGACGGGAATCGAGTCACTCGATTCGAGTAGTAGTTTCATTTTTCATATCTGCTAAGCCGTTTTGAAAAATTTACCTGGTTGAATTAAAAGTAATGAGTTGGTAGTTTACATGAACCAGATAAATTTTACCATCCCTGTCATCTGATTCGAATAATTTCTGCTTATGAGAACAGTATACTCAACGGATGTATGTATATTGTATACAATTTTTCTTTTGACATAAAGTACACATATAATGTATGCCTTATGCATTTTTCTAACTATTCGGGCCATTTTTCTAAAATAGAAAATGTCAAAGATGACATTCACATCACAATTGAATTTTCTTTACACTCTACTTTATTACTTTCAGTATCGTACGCAATTGTGATCTATCAATGATTCCCTCATTCTTTAAAGATTCAAATATATTTTTATTCAATACGGGAAATATTTTCGACAACCTGATATATCAAGAATATATTCTTACAAAATTACTAGAGTTTTATTTACTCACTTTGAATATCCAACGAATGCGGTTTTCGAACATTTGAAGACACAGTTCGCTTAATCGTCCGACTCATCGTTTTGACTTGTCCAGCATTATCCAATTCATCATTATTAGACATAGCAGAACTCAATGCAGAAGGCATCAGAAATCCATTAACCTTGATTTCATCGAATTTTTGCTCCAGAATCGCCATTTTGGTGGCCGAAATTTCTTTCTTCTTTAAATCAACTCTCAATTTGTCTCCTAAAAACAGTAGAAAAAAATAAATAAATATAAATATAAATATTCATGTTCAAGTGGGAAATAAAGTTGAAAAAAATAAAATGTTTATCAATTTTATAGCCCAGTGTACATTCATACGAAACCATCTTTCAGTAAGCCCAAATTACTTTTTGTTGGTTTTACACTGAAAATAATTAAAAAATTCCAAGAGAATATTCGAATTGTTGAAACTTTTTTCGTTTTATCGACATTTTCATATCTTTGCAATTTTCGCTTGTGCTATCGGAAACAGCATAACATGTAAATTTTCTTTCTCAAATTTTCTATTCAAATTTCAATTATTAATGCTATTGTGTAGATAGTTTCTTGACAACTTGCAAAATTTTAGTGTTGATTCTTTTAATTTGCCAAGAATTGTATTGCAACATCACAATCCCATTCAGTATTTTATTTTAAGTGGTGTTGCGAAAACAGCAGGGACATGTTCAGTCAGTGAAACTTCTCTTCAATTAATTTCTTTTCAATTGCAAAAACGACTTGTTGTTCAAAACTTCATCTGACCTTTCTTTTCGTACATTTTTACTTTGGGACCGGTGACAACCTGCTTACTATTGACATTTTCATTTGCTTGTAGAAATGTCCTAGTTTTTTTTTTGTCTCACGCTAAATTTTAAGGAATTTGATCTAATTTTCAGAATTATAATTTAGTCCATAAAGTTCATCTTTTTTTAAAATTAAATACAGACCAATCCTTATTCCAATCGGGAAAGACTACTACATTATAGAAATCTAGTAAAGCAAATTACTTGCAGCCACCAATAGGCTAGCTATTAATGGACATATTCCAATAAACCAGTGAAAAATGTCAATAAACTGGTTATACAAAATTCATATATGAATGTTACTGAAAATACTGAGCATGAGTGATGGTCCGCGGTCGGTCATGATTTCATTCGATAGGAGATAGAGATTTGGTGTCTTTGAAAAAGTTGTAGTACTCGAGGTTCTCTATAATTTTGATGAAAACAGTGATCTCTTATCTCTTCAGTTTTGCGAAAAACGCGAATAATTAAAAGAAAAAAAACATGCTATAGGCATGTGTTTTTGATTTGAGCCCATCTGATAAGAGATAAGAGATTTGCATTTGAAAGTAATTAACTTGAACAACGTATTTATATTATTTAACTTGAACAATGCATATATGCGAATCAAATAGTTTGCTGAAAAGCCAACTAAAATTGAAGATATCAAGTCCACAAGAACGCAGAGAGGAATTGTACATTTCGAAGATCAGGGTTTTTCATGAATCTAATTGAATTCATTACACTAGGTTGTATAGTGTCAAAATGATCGATTCTATAATGATATGTAAATATTCAAAGAAATTCGATAATTTTAGCACTATACAATCTACTTTGTGGACGTATACACAAAAATTTGGAACAAACTTGTATGAGATGCTTGCGTGCAAGTATTTCACTTGCATACAGTTTGGACGTAATTTCTGCGCTAAAGTCCACAAAGTAGATTATATAGTGCTAAAATCATCGAATTTCTTCAAATATTTACATATCTTTATAAAATCGATCATTTTGGCACTATATAACCTACCTTGTGGACGTAGGGACAAAAATATCGACCAAAATTTACACTATTGTAGTTCACCACTTTACTTTGCATGCAAGTGTTATTTTCGGAACAATCCAAAGTACGTTGAAAAAAAACTTGATGCAAGCATTTTACTTGCAAAGTCTGTTCCCACCCTAAGAAGTAGATTTTTGAACATATTTTTTACAATGAAGGAAGAAACGAACTATTGACAAAAAATTGAAAACATACCGACGTGTTTATATATTTCGACTAGGGTTTGAATGGAAGCATCTCTTACAGGTCCACAAGGATCTCCTAAAAGACTCACGATGGGTTGAATGAATGATTTTAACGAGAGAACTTGAGTACCGTACCTGAAGAGAAAACAATGTGAAAAAATATTTAAATTGAATTTAATCGAAATTGACTTACGCATTCAGTGTATTGACGATAGTTTGCAGAAATTCTTCCCGAACTTTTGCATTTTTATGCTTAAAACATATCGTTAACTTGTCAAGTAATTGTTGCGGTGGGATGACACGGTGTTCCGTGAGCTTACTAAGAAGCAGCTGAGCCTTTTCTCGGACAGTATCTCGACTGTCCCCGAGGCGATCAACAACATGTGGTAAGATTGTTGGCGTATATGCGACAAAATCAGTGCCTAGACGACTTATGAGTTCTGTAAATGCCTCCAGTGCCCTCTGCGCAATCTGAAATATGTGACAATTTTCATTAAAAATAAGTAACGCAATTTCGAATTCAAGTTGTCGAGCGAATTTTTGGTGAGAAATAAAAGGAATTAATTTGAAACATTCTACTGCAAAGTAAACTTATAAGTCTGTTATTACAAAAAGATCTTTTATATTGTTAGCGCACCGCATAAAATTAAGTTTTCACCTACAAGAAGTTTTTAAAATTACGTCATTCTTGTTCATGAATGATCAATCATATGAATCATACATTCTAAATAAAGTAATACTGGAAACCAAATATGCGAAGCAGAACTGCGGTTGAAAAAAACTTGGAATGACTTTAATTACCTTGTAGTGGCTCCCTGTCAGCCATGGCATCAAACTATCGATTAATTGTCCCAAATCACTTGAAACTATTGAATTGTCTTGGTCAATCAAAAAGGCAACTAGATCTTCAGCAAGTTGAGTTTTAACACGCATATCAGCTTTAGCCATTAAAATAATGAACTCATCAATATTTGTAGGTTTTTGATATGCCATTTTTTCTTAATTTTCACTGTTACTGCTCAAACAAATTGTTCCCACGCTTCTACGCTTTTATATTGCGTATATTATGTTGATATTTTACCAGAAAGTTATCCACAATATAGGACTGTATTTTTGTAATGAAAACATTCGATCACAAGTCGATATACTTATACTTTGTAGCTTGAGATCAAGCACAACCAACAAAAATTACTTTATGAGAAACACCATTTTCCAATACTGGAGTTATTTGAGCAGGAATCCACGAAAAAATGAGGAGAATTGAACGTTTCGAATCATCTTCACTTCTGTTAACACTTCAATTTTCTGTTTACCATATAAATGGGAACATCTATAGTATTGAGAATGATAATGTAACAATAATAATAAAATGAAACGTCTTCAAAATATTATTCAAAATCCTCACCAGGAAACAAAAACTCTGCTAAGTGGGGACGATTTAGGGAAATTCAAATTAAATCGAAGTTTTTCAATGTTTATTTTTCACTAGCTTATGGAATATGAAACAGTCTTAACTCTTTCAACATACTTTTTTTAATAAAATTTGAACAGTTTCGCCTTTTGGTTCTTTTTTTTTAAATGATTTTTCACTTTTTTTCATTAGAAAAAGTTGACTTCTGTGTTAATGGATTATGCTAATAAAATTATTGAACCAAGATACATAAATCGAGTCATGATGTATTTGAATAAGTGATTTTCTGTTCACCTTTATTAAATGATGTATATATTCAACACCACACGAAATGTCTGTACACATATGAAAAATATTCAGGAATCCATTTATTTGTATTTAAACTGCAAACAATTTCATCTGTCATCCATTTTGGGTGAACATTAAATTGAAGACTTTTCGCGCACTTTGTTGCTTTTCTGGTTGGTCTTGCACTCATACGTTGTCTGTCTGTATGATTTTTTTCTAAATTCCTTCTACACCCTGCTATTGAAATGTAGCAATGAATAAAATTGCACAAACATTCATTTCTACCACCGTGTTCATGTTTCTTACTATGATTTTATAATCCTCAAAGTGAAGTTTCTCCAGTTTAGAGACACACAGAATTAAAGAAAATGCATTTTTTTCCTAAAATTTCTCGAAGGAATTGAAATGCAGAAGAATTTTTGCAAGAAACTCATTGGAATATGTGTACGTAAATGTGTATTCACTGTCACTACGCCTTAAAAGGTTGTCAAATAGCTCGAATATTATGGGCGACATCTGTTGGATAAAAACCTAACTTTTTATGTTGATATTAGTTGTCATAGACTCTCTACCGATATACAATAACAATTAGTATATATACTTTTCATTAAATTTAAGTTTCTCAATTTAGTAAGAAAATATTTTTGTAAATTTCATTGAAACCGTACTGAATAAATAAGCTTTAAAATACTCAATCCATTTGAACTGTTCTATCATTATCAGAAGATTTTTCGTCATCGGTGTTGAATGAGAAAAACAACAATTGTTTGCTGTTGAATTGACTTTTATTTTAACAAACTGAAAAATCGGATTTTATTGTCTGCGTGTCTTCTTTTGTATATGCATTTTAAATTGAAAACAAAACGATATAATATTTATATATCAACACTAAGAATTTATCGCGTGACAAATTTAATAGTATTACATGCTCAGATGATACGCCTTGACGAGCTCACATTGGCTGTTGCATCCATGTTCAATTTTTCAAATCGCCTGGCAGTGCCTTGTTTTCGTATTCAATTCCTGGAATTTGCTAACCAGGAAATCGTCTAATCATCAAAATTCGATTTTTTGGTCAAATGCTCTGGGTACTAAAGGGTATTTCAATAGGGATGTCCAAACTTGAAAAACACAAATGTTATTGAAATTCATCCAAATTATTTATTGTAAATGGTAACTTTATCCACTACACTGATAATTAAAAAGAACAACAACAATTTGATCAACCTTGTATAATGTTTTTTGGCATAAAAAAGCACAGCGTGTTATGTGCTAATGTCAGCAGTACTAACTAACGTCAGCAGCTGATATCAGCTCATAACACGCTCTGTAAAAAAACTATGAGTAGGTCGGTCATTTTCACGTTTTTTGTTTTTTGTTCTTTGTAATGTCAATTCAATTTTTTAGACTTAAAATAAGGTGTCATTTCAAAATTGGTCCATTCCAATGAAAATCAAAAAATGGTACAAAATATCGTAAAAATAACGGTTTTCAGACCAAAATGATAACTCGCAGTACTCAATTTTCTTGGCAAAATTGTAGCCAGTGTAAAAATGAACTCTTCTGAACCCAAAAATATATAATAACACAGTTCTACCGATGGTTTTTTTTTGTCTGGCAATTGATAGCGACATACTAGGCTTTTTAGAGGGCCAAAATGTAAGAACAACTGCGTTCTCAGAATATTAAAATTGGCTCAACTTTTTTAAATATCAAATTCGGCGTTTAAACTTTTCACCAGTATTAAATGCAAAGAGGTATTGAACAAATAGCATTTTTCTCCCATTCGTGATGGTTTTATAGCCTTGGTATGTACCAGGGAGTAAAATAAGCGTGATTCAAGCACAAAACCGGTAGTCAAGATTTCATTTCGGTAGTCAAAAATTGTATTTTCGGTAGTCCAAATGAATGTGACAAATACAAAAACAATACCGATTTTTCACATCAGATCCGAAGAGAGAGAAAGAGAAAAACACATTCACCAGCTAATAAATATATTTATATACAAACAGTTTTAATATTTTGGAGAACAAGTAAGAATTGAATCATCATATCAATTTTGCGAAATAAATTCTTCGGTTACAGAGTTCCCTAGACTTTGATTTGTTTATGTTCATCTTCAGTCGGCTTCAGAAGCAACTCCAATCGGATGAATTGACACTAATCGCAATGAAATTGCACATCGACTCAATGCTAAGATCTTTGAATGGCATGCAAAATAACCAAAGTCCAGGAGGTTTTGAAAGGAATTTAGCTTCAAAATTGGTGCGTAAAGAGGATGAAGACCAAGTTTTCTTCAAATCAATTGAGCTCAAATTTGGAATATTCGGATGTAGGACGCGTCGAGCGCCAATGAATGTAGCTGATGTCCGTACAAACACTTTAGTTGCTCTTTCTGATTTCCTGACCAAAAGTTTCGTATTTAAGGGAGTTTTCTTGGAAGCGCGAGCATGCAAAGATGAAGAAGATGACGACGATGAAACTAATAACGATGGAAACAGCATTTTTGATTTCTAAATTCATGATTTGTCTTGATTTTCCTAAATTCATTTCACATTCATTACAATTAATGATGAAATTTATATACATTTTGATGTACGAAAAACCAAATATTAAATCTAATAAAACACTATGAAAAAAATGGTACTCAACAAAAAATTTCGGTAGTCAGAAAAATTTCTTATTTTACTCTCTGGTATGTACTAGGAAAATATTTGGCGTTCAATTTTAGGTGGAACTAGTTATAATCTATACTCAAAAATTACATCTGGTATATGGGGCAAAATGTCGAGAAAATAGTCAATTTTTCCAGTTTTTCGACTAAAGCTCGAAGAGTATACATTTTTTTCGCTTACTGTATTCGGCAACATTGTAGCCAGACAGAGTATAGCTGAGCAACACTTCTGAACACATCAACTCGAAAAAACTCCATCCAGTCCACTTTATGGGCTCGAAATCACCTTTCGTCATTAAACGGTATTTCCGTGCATTTTCGAAGTCCTGCAACTTCTCAACTGCTTAAAATAGAGCAATAGTTTCTGAAGGAACTTTTTAGTACTCCCCAATAGCTTTAACTATTATTTATTGATCAATTGGCTTCATATTTTACGAGGCCCATTTCTTGTACAAAAATTTGAAACTTACCAAGTTTGAAGCCAATCGGTAAAG